CCATGGATGCTTCGGTCTCCGCAGTCGCTGCGTGCTCCTGTTCAGGCGAGCGTCGGTCGCGCCAATATGGTACCCCTTCACCTCACCTATCCCCAAACTAACCTCAGCTAGGCGCTACGTGCTCTTGATCGCGAAATCGCCGTTCTCTATCCCCCTCACCACATCGTATCCCACTGACCCTATTTAACCGGCGCCCACTCCCGCACGTGGTATGCAGCCGCCATGCAACATAGGGACACTACGCCGCCACTGTTCTTACCACCGCCTTGCTCGTGCTCACGTCCAGCTCCCAAGCGAGCAGCTCCTGCAATAGAGTCTATCACAGTGGTTGGCTTAGATAGGGGAGCGATTCACAATCCAAACAACTTCTAGTTCGTTGCTGTAACATGGATTAGCTTGCAGTTTTGCTAGCGGTTCTTTCCTTCTGTCTTGCCGCCTGCTCCTATTCAAGCGTACGCTACGCATCCCCTTACTGTACCCAGTTTGCCCGATTCAATCCATATGCCTCCTTCCCCTGCATGGGCTCAGATCCGACTGAGTACGCGCAAGGGAGTGAGGATGGGAGAAGGGGGTCACTCGATACTAACTCCCACCTTCCTCACCTCACCCCATTCCGTACTCGCCACTCCACCCCCCCCCCCCACCTTGCCCCTTGCACGCGCTTACGTCCAACTGCCACGCGAGCAACCCGTGCAATGGCTCGGAGTGTAGTGGTTTTCTTATATAGTGGAGAGTGTTATCACAACCAAAACAACTTCTTAGTTCGTTACGGTAACATAGATTGGCTTGCAGTTTTGTTAGCGGTTGTTTCCTCATCCATTGGTGTGCGTTTCTACTGAAACGCGCGCTACGCACCCCTCACTGTACCCCCCTCCCCGCGACCCCTTCCCTCTGCCTCCCTCCAATACATGTGCTCAGCTCCGGCTGAGCACATGCAGGAGAAGGAGGCAGGGCGACCTGGCACCCCCACCCTGCCCCCGCACGAGCACACGTCCAGCTGCCACGGCAGCAGCTCGTGCAATGGCTCGGAGTGTACCGAATGGTTGTCTTATATATGCTGTTATCACAATCAAAACATTGGATTGATACATCTGCACCGATCGTTCCCGGTTTGGCTAGCGGTCGTTTTCTCCTTTCACTAACCTGTTTAATCCCGTGAAGCATTTTGCGGACGGACAGACATACAAACCGACATACATACATACATACCGACAAACCGACACACAAAGTTAGTGCTTTATAGAATGTAAGGATTATCCTTCGTAAATGCTATCGAGCATCAGCATAGGTCGGACATTTGTGGGCGGTGGGGGGCGCGCCGTAGGCCGCCCAGCGTCCTGTATGCTTGCAAGCTTCATTAGAGTGCTATAAGGTACCTTTCTTGGACTCATCATAGCACCCTGCCTCATGAGCGCCGAATTCTGTCCAGCTAGAAGCATTAACTTCCACACGCCGTTGCCGAATTTATCTGTCGGCCAATTTTTCCTTCAAGCGTCTACCTCGGACTGTGCTCTGAAGGGCGCTCGGAGAACGGAATCTCCGGAACGTCTGGTCTCCATGATGAATAACGAACGATAAGGCTGAGAGAGCTGTACGCTCAGAGCCGATCCTTGGTACACCACGCCAGTGATATCCGCTTTTTTGGCGAAACCGTGCAGAGTGCCTACACGGTTTCGCCAAAAAAGCGGATCTCACTGCTGGGTGTACCACGGATCGGCTCTGCAGCCTCCCTTAATTCTTCAGTATCATAGCCCAGAGGAACCACGGAAAGCGACCACCGAAGACCGTTACGTCACACGCTGAGGCGCGCGTGATTATGTGAACAGCTTAGGAAAGCAACTCCCGGGTAAGGCACATTAGCAGAAAGCGCCCCGCCCTTAGAATGGTTCTCTGGCTTCGTGTATAAGCAGAATCAAGACCCGAATTAGGGTACAGCATCCAACTGTATGAAACACTTGGGGGGTGTGGTCGTTACTCGGCCGCACTTGGGGGAAGAGGGGGGGCGGGCGTATTTGGTAGTTGATTGGGAGACAGAGAGAGAGACGATGTATGTGTCTTTGGGGATTTCGCCGCGTTGGGGAGATATTTCTCCGTTTGCTGACTTTTCGCGGTTTTTTCCGTTTCACATTTGCCATACACCCCTTCCCTCTTCCCCCGCTCGATGGAAAATCTTTGGCATCCCTCCTCACTCCAGTGAAAAAACTGGTAGGCAAGCTGAAAAGCTGTTAGAAAAACTGTTGCGATGCTATTACTCTGACTTTGTAACACGAATTGTTACCAAACATATGGCGGTGGTTGATCGCCCAAGGCGAATTCGATGGAAAGTTAGGATGAGGGAGCGATCGCTTTGCTGGCAGCAGGAAGAGAGACGGGGTGGTTGTGGCATATAATTTTACGGTAGATCTGCTAACAGAACTCAAAAGCAAGAGCAGTATTCACAATTTGGAAAAATCCCAAATTAAGACCCGCTTGTTCCAAGCAGTAGCGAAGAAGCTGTGGCGGATTTTACAGGCGAGAGAAAGACAAGAACGGCGAAAGAGTGTGTAAACGAGTTAGACGGCAGATATGACAGCTAGCGCTGACGGAATCACTTGAGCAACCTTTCGTTCCAATACCTCTACCTAACTACCTTTACTTCATTCCAAAATTTGTGTAAGATCTGCTTCCATGCCGAGCTTACCAGCTACCCTTTCCTCACAAAGAGCTGTCGAGCTATTATTGCACATCGCGAACGAGCCTTTTAAAGACTTACCCATGTCAGAGGCATGCTGTGTGGTATTTCGTGGATGGAAAAGAACAATGTCGGAACAGCAATCACAGCTCCAAGTCCACAAACGATTGCATCCGATCGCACCGTCTTCACGGAACGAAATGGTCCCCATCCTGTGCGCATAAGCTGAAATGCGCATTCAAAAATGGATAGTCGGGCTCTGTCACAAAAAGCAAACAAGTTTAAGGTCGCGCTGCAACAAACTTCATGTCGGGCTTTCACAAGCCTTTCTGGATTTTCGTGAAATTTGAAATCCCCTTTCACTCCTGGATATTAAAGACAGCGCCCGCGTTCATTTGTTGTTCTCACGCCCTCTCTGGATCTAGTAGCTCCCCCTATGAGGATGGTGGACGTGCATGTTTCGCAACCCAAAAATGCGACGGAACAGCGGCGCCCGCCCGCAAAGAGCCTACGGCTCCACCCACCAGCCGACCACGCCACCCAACTTCATTTCTAATGGTTGCCTGATGGTGCGGTTGTTCCATTGCTGCTTCTCTCCACGTGGAGTGGTGAGAGTGAGGTGATAAGGGAAAACAGCTGATATGAACAAGTGGAAACTCGTGCAATCACTCCTTCTCTTCGCCTTAAGCACGTACAACCGTTGTTCGGTATGAAACTCCTTCTAGGGCATTTTGCGTGTTTTCTCTTTGATTTTTCTTCACTAATAGGCTTCTTGCTACCTCGCTGTTACTACCTGAGCCGCATACTCATTAAATTTGAACGCGGGCGCTGCCTTTAAGAAGGGTTGCAGCTTTTCTCCTACTGATCGTTGTCGATGAGCGCTGTGCAACACCAATTTAAACACAACTGTTGGGTACATTGCGGCAGCGTCTAGCAGCGACCAAAAGCGTCCACCAGCGCTTCGCGAACGTCCGGCAGCGCCAGCGACTAGGAAAGTATATAGATATCGATCTAGGTCTGCCAGCATCTTCCAGCGTCTCGAGCGCTAGGAAAAGTATAAGTATCGGAATCCAGCGTTTGCCAGCGTGCGTCAGCTTCGGCTGAAGAGAGCCTGCCGCGCGATAGGAGGGCGTAGACAGAAGTACTGGGCGAGATAGAAGGTTTAGTCTGCTGAAGGAGATTATGGGCTGCTATCGCGCCATACTCCCTTTTCGCAGCAGCTTGTAGACGCTGTGTGCTTACGCTGACAGACGCTACATCGATGCCCTGTGAATCCCTAGCCGCTCGGTAAACACGTTTGTAGGCGTGCAGACGCACGGACAACACTGTCCGTCGACCCGCTGTGCGTCGCTGCGATCGGACTGGACGCGTGTCGCAAAGTTCATCGCGCAGAATTACATATCCTTACTAGCCTTGCCCACTGCAAATGATGGGACGTGACAGGATGGATGAGGGCGACGCCGAACCTATTTTCCACTACTTGCTGAAACGAGCAAACGACAAGACTGTATTATGTCCGTAGAAGATGTTTTCCACCAACGGTTGTCGCTTAACCGCTGCAACCCTGGCAGGGAATGAGATGGCGTCGCGCCACACTAAGACACCCCATCATGTGCAGCGAACAAGAGTATATGCGCTGCCACACACTGCACTCAAATGGCCCGGCGAATACGCTTCTCATCGTGCAAGTAAAACCGCGCAATAGGTTGTCACAACGCAACGTTCTCAAGTCATGTAGCATGGGTTCACCAGAAAGCTTATGTGCCAAGCTTAGTGGAGCTCACCCGCGATGAAAAAACCCATTAAGCTGCGTTACTACTTTGCGACAGAGTTCACCAGCGGCCACTAGCGTTCGGGCGTCCAGCGCGTCAGCGACTAAGAAAGTATAGATAACGATCTAGCTTCCGCCAGCGCCTACCAGCGACGGGCAGCGTCCGGGAATGGGGAGTATGGGGGATAGGATGTCAACAGACAGCAGGTAGAGTATGGGGAGATAGGAGAGTAGCAGACTGCTGGTAGAGAGCATGGCGCGATAAGAGCGCAGCAGTCGCTGGCAGACGCTAAATCGATACCTATACTTCCCTAGCCCTCGAGACGCTGCTGGTCGCTGGTGGACGCTGACAGACGCTGGTAGACGCTGGTAGACGATAGATCGATATCTACACTCCCATAGTCGCAGACGCTTGAAGCGCGTGGAAGCTGCCGCAGAGTATGAACGCAGCCTTACTATGCTATCAAGATGTACTTGTTAAAGAACAACGGTGTTTTTATAAGGTTGCAGGGAATTCAAGAGAGTGAATAGTGTTGGAAACCACTTACACCTGCGAGTATGGATCCAATACCGACACCGGCTATGCCTCCAACACAGGTAAGGGCACCAAATATCATGTTCACTCTGAAAAATTAGTAACCGATTACACACTTTGGAAATGGTTAGTTGACTAGCAGCAGAG